CCCACCTGCCCGATCCAATGCTCCTGACTTCCCCTTTCTCCAGGTTCCCACCTGTGTATCCTTCTAGACTGTGGTTCCCTACAGATCCTGCCTGAGCACTGCATGGACACCAGAGCCCCAGCCCAGGCCTTGCCAGGCAGGAGTACTCCTCAGAGGACGGCCACTCCTCATCTGTCTGTGAACACAAGCCCCTTGAGAGCTGTGGGCCCCCTGCTGCGGCCAGCAGTGCCCAGCCCAAAGTACCACAGACAGTGACTATGAGTGGAGACAGTCAGGCAAGCTGGGGGTGCCAGATATCGCTCAGGCACTGGAGGAAACTGAGGCCGAGTCCCAGAAGCTGGCCAAGGGCTGAGAGGAATGGAGGACCCAAGAGCCCTGACCCAGCCCATCAGAGAGCTGGTCACTTCCATGTGCTACTGGCTTGTGGCCCAAACACAGCAGACTGACATCCTGCCTGGCTTGGCAGCCAAGCAGCTGGATGAGATATGAGAGAGTCTAGGCTCCTGAACTAACCATGGATGAGCCAAAGCCTAGAGGAGGGTTGGTGCCCCGAGCCCCACGCAGATGTCAAAGACAATGGAGCAGTAAGCAGCTTCTGCTCCTCCCTGGACCCCGAGTGGGTTGGTTCAGGTCCCCCCAGCCCTCAGGGTCTTACCTAGGAAGGTCCCAGTGAAGCCCAGTGCAAAGAAGCTGGAGAGCACCAACATGCTGCCAATTCCCAGGAGCACAAGGCCCACCTGGTAGGCTGTGGGGTTATCCAGGCTGTCCATCCTGGGCTGGCTCAGCATGGCCTGTGTGAAGCTGCAGGCAAAGGGTGGGAGAGATAAGAGGTCACTGCTGTGAAGAGGGAGCTGTCCCCCTTTCCCACCCATCCCCCAAGTGGCCCCCAGAGTAGCCAGTCCAAGGGTCTCAAACTCAGTGCCTGTTGGGGACAGACAGGTGACAAAGTGGCTGCAGGTGGGATATGGGGCACCTAGAGAGTACCGTCCTGCTCTAGGGTAGCCACCCTGATGCAACAGCCCCCTACCACCATGAGGGAAGTGACCAGAATGGGGGCCCAGGCCTGCCAGACCTTTTAGTTTTTCAAGAGAAGTCAGAAATCCTGATTTGTATGCGAAATATCCTATTTTTTTTTAAATAGGCAATTAATGAAAACTATTTTGGACTCTGTGCATATCAGCTGGCCATATTCAGCCCATAGGCCACCAGTTTGCAAACTCCAATCCTGTCCAGTTAGTAACTGGTACTAAAGAAGAAAAGTAAGGCTCAGAAAATTAAAGACGCATGCCCAGTGCCCACATGCTCCTGCAAATGACATGTGTGACCCGTGGTCTTGGCATACCACTCCCCTAGCAGACTCAATGCCTTAAAGCCTGGGGCGTACTCTGCCCCTGCACAGGACTGGCCACATCCTGGGCAGCACCTCAGAGGTCCAGTATGTCTTCTTTCCACACCTGAAGTGCCCCCAGCAGGCTCGTTTTTGGGCCAACACATGGAATGCCTTGTTTAAAGGCAAGTGGGTTGACCAAAAGGAGGTGTCTATGCTAGTGGATTTGGAGATGCAGTTTCTCCAGTTGGCTCCTAAAGAATGGAATGCTTGGTGCAGCTAGGGCAAAGAGACTGGGATCACGGTAATGCATAGGAGCAAGGTTCAGGGTCTATCTCCTTAGGAAGGAGGAGGTGCTGATGGGAGGGACACGCACCAGGGAAAAGATGTGTGTGGGAGCAAGTGCATGCATGTACCACAAACATACATTTTCCATTACTCCAAGATTGTAACACTCAGAAGAGACAAGATCTTCTGCCTTATGCAAGGCAATTACTTGCACTCGCTTTGTACCATGTAGCAAGGCAGTTCCCTATCCATTCACCCACCCACCCACCCATCCGTCTGTTAGTCTATCTTCTATCTACCCATCCATGTATCTATCCATCCATCAATCTATCCTTTATCCATCCATCCATGCATCCATCATAAAGTATCTGTTTGACAGGCTCTTTCAAGTAGAACAAACCCATCTTCATTCATTCATTCCACTGATAAATTCACATTGTCGTAAAACTGTTCTTATGTTAAGCTAAAACAGCAATCCCTGGAACTCCTTCCTCCAACTACTTTCAGCTCTTAGAGAACAGAGGCTGATTCTCCTTCCCCCTCGCACCCTGACCGTCTCCAGGCAGAGTGGGTTACAGTATATATTCATCAACTAGAGGGAAAGCAGCACCCCTTGCCCTTCTCTTCTTCCTCCTCCTAGAGCAGAGAAAGGTAAATGGCAAACAGAATACCCTGCACAGAAGCCTGCATGGTGAAGTACACGTGTGTCAGGGCACACCTGGCCACTGGTCAAGCTGCCCACATGCCCAGCTCTCCACCCACCACTGCCCTCCCTTAGCCCTCCTGCTGCCCGGGCTCAGGGTCACCCTGCAGCTCCAAGCTGAGCCACTGGGATTGGCTCAGGGTCATGCACACCGAGTGTTGTGCCAGGTCAGCATGCCCATGCCCCGCCCACCTATATCCTGCCTCTCTATGCTTTCACATGACTTTTTGGTAAACAAGCAGCCCTCACCCTCAGGGCAGCCCTGTGACCCAGGCACACCTTCTACCCTGCAGACCCAGCAGCTAAGCCCATGGAACAGGCAGCTTTGGCACCTAGCCTCAGCATACTCCCCATCTCTCCCAACAGGTAGTGGAATGGAAGGCAGGGAGAGGCTGTGGGCCCTGGCAAAGCTGACTTCCCTACTCAGGGCTAGCTCACCTGCAGGCCCTTGGATCCTTGGTTACCACTGCATTAAGGGGAGAGGGGGAGGGAGAGAGAAAACACTCAGACCTCCATGTCTCAAGGGCTGGGGTGATGCCTGCCTGTTTAGCTCTGGTACTTGTTCCTCCCCACCCGGGCTGATTCCCAGCCCCCAAACATAGGACAATGAGGACTACTGGGCCCACAGTCCAGCACAACTATCTGCCTCAAGTTCTCAAGGCCTACCCATGGTTGCCGATAAAAGAGCTGAGGGCTCCTGGCAGAAGAGTAGGACTGGGTTTCAGACAGACCTGGCACCCTGGGCCTCAGTTTTTGCCTCTGTATGATGGTGACAGTAACCCCTCCCACATCCCTGTGCAGAATTGCTGCCAGGTTGCTGTGCACATGCTGGTGAACATGAGACACGCCAGACGCAGCTATGGGTCTGAACAGTGGGAAGGACAGAAGAGTGAGCCAAGGGTGACACCGTGGGAGTGATGAAGCACCGGGTGCCATGCAGGACAGGCACACTAGACAGGAGTCCAGAAGGCCATGGTGAGGCTTAAACTGAGATGTGATGGAAGAAATTCTCCAGGGGAAGGGGGTGGGCAGGGAGAACATTCCAGAAACAAGAATAGCACAGCCGGTGGGGAAGCCTGCAGAGGTGGCTTCCTCTGGGCCTGCAGTAAAGAGTTTGGAATGCATTCTACATGAGTGGGAGGAATAGGGTGGGGAGACCAGTCAGGTTGTTGCAACAGTCAGGGGAGTACTAGGGGACTGAGAGAGCCCAACTAGAGCCTGGATTGGAACAGATCTGGGGCTCGTGGTGGAGTCTCGGTTTTCCACTTGTGCTGGGCTGGCTCCAGCTCCTCTGCCAGAGTTCATTTGCACCATCCAAGCAGTAGGCACACTGCCCAGCTGAGTGCACACAGCTGGGCCAGATGAAAGGGAGCATCTCACTCTGATGTGCTGTGCCTGAAGCAGCCTCCCTCGGGGATGGCTCCATAGAAAAAACCATCTGGCTATAAGCAGATGAGGATTCCTGAAGAAGGGCAGATCTAGGGCCAATGATGGGGAGCAGAAGGCCCTGAAGCAGCTGTGTGGCTGCCCTAGACTTCACCCTGGGCCTTGGTCCACCTGCTCCTTTTCCATCCTTCACCAGTGGGAGGAAAGGGCCCCACAGGGAGCACCTCTCCAAGTTCCCTCAGCTCTTTGTCATATGGTTCCCCACAAAGCACTCCAGAAGCACTCACCCCAAGCTTCTCAGCAGAGAACCCTGGCCAAGACCCTCCAGAGTTCTGTTAAGGAGCCCTTTGGGCATGCAGGCTGCGTACTCTGGGACCACGACAAGTGGCAGGTTTGCAGGAATGGCATGGCGGGCCCTCGTCAGGTGACCTGTGGTGTTCTAGCTCCTCCATAAGTCAGGAGAGCATAGTCCATTCCACATGAAAAATTAACAGAGGGACGAGTGGCTCCGAGGGGCAAATGCTCCATAACAGAATGAAGTAATAAACAGGCAATTTCCTTTGGAAATATTCTGTACTGGGGACGGGAGTGGAGAGACTCATTCAATTGTCTCTGGTTCTATTTTTAAAACTTAGATTGAGCTTTTGGTCAACAATGTGACTTCAGGCTGTCTGCAGTCTGCTCCCCTGAAATCCTGGAACCTGGGTGGAGGCAGGGAAAGATAGTCACCACCACTGTGTCCTGGCCACAGGCCAAGCATCTGGCTCCAGCCTCCTCCCAGAGCACCTCCACTTTGGCTGCCAATGCATCCTTCCAGATCCTACTTCTAACCAAGGCCCTTCCTGCATGGCAAACCCCCAATGGTCCCCACAGCCTGTAGAGTTAAGGCTGAGATCACCTATGCCTCTTGCTCCCTCAACCTAGAACTCCTTTCTACCATAATGCTGGCAGACCTGCTAAGCTTCCCTGGCTCAGGTCCAAGTGCACATCTGCGTAATCCCTACCTTGAGTGTGGGCTGACCTGTGGACACCAGGTATATCAACTGCAACAGAGCAAGGTCAAGGCATTTCACAGCTGTAATTAAGTTCCCCGGTCAGCTGACCCACATTAATTGAAAAGGAGATTACCTTGGAGAGGGCGGCTTTCAAAGGGGGTCTGGCTTGGAAGAAGCCAACCACCATGCTGAGGGCAGGGGATGGGGGAGGGATGAGCATGTGTCAGAGAGTGGCAAGCAGGCTCTAGGAGATGAGGGCCTCAGTCTTCGGTCCTATAGCCACAAGGAATTGAGTCCTCCCCACACCCACCTGCCCTATTCACTTGCTCCTTAGTGACCATATCCTGTGAGCAATTCCAGCCAGGCACTGGATGAAGCAACCACTGGCACACAGATGGCCACAAGGAAGACAAGCCACATGCGTGCTGACATCCCATCGATCCGGCCAGCCTATGAGCAGGGTGCACCTGTTCCCGAGCAACAAGGAGGGGTGAAGTAAGTCTGCTCCCACCACCCCAACCACAGCTCTACTCCTACTAAACAATGCACACAGAAGCTAGTCTTGATTCTCACAAGCCCCCCCCGCCCCGCCCCAAAGCCCAGCATCCCTGATGAGGAGAGGAAAGAGACAACTGTCATCAGTGAGTGCAGCTCAGCCAGGGTGCAGGACGGTGCTGGGCTGGGGCACTCTGCCTGGCTGGTAGCAGATGGCTGGTGGAGGGAAGAACCAGTGGGCCCGAGGAGATGGGAGAGGTCTGGTGTATATTCGCTGTCTGGTGATCCGAAAGGTGATAAGAGGAAACTAGTCCTGCCTGTGAGCATCCTTTCTCTCCTCTCAGAAATTTCTTGGAGGGGCTAGTTCAACTAAGAGAAGGTAGACAGCAGGCCAGGCCAGCACTGACATTGAGAGAGCTGGAGAGGAGGAAGAGCTGGGGGCTACCGTCTATAAGAAGCTGGACATGGACTGACCTCCTCCCGGATCTCCCAAGGGCCCAGGACTCAAGAATGAACCAGAGAGTTTGCTGATATCTACACATCAAGAGCTGGGCTTCAGGTCAGATTGTCCCCTTGGTCTCCTAGGGACCCATGAGGGCCTAGAGGA